CTATTTGGGTAACTCGGGAACTAAGAAAGTTGGGAAGCTGGGATTTCAAGGGAATGCTCCCTGTCCAACTATAGCGTGGATAATTAAGTTCACGAAATTCGAGGACCAGTATGTACAAGAGGTTTTTAGCTAGAGGAATTTCGAGTAATCTTATTACAGCACGAAACACTGCAAAAACGCATGATCGCACAAGGCCCCCCAGTGCGCGTCGCCAATGATTTTTAGTGGTTTATTTTATTTCAGGGGCAGTCCTTTCCAGATATAGAAGCACTGATTGCATACTATAAAACAAATAGGCTAGAATGCGCACGTGGTGAATACATCGTACTGAAACGTGGCGTTCCCAAGGGTAAATTCCAACTGAATCACAGCGATATAAAAATCATGAAAAAGGTTACTTTTATATTTAGCTCATTAACACGAGTACCGAGAATGTATGGACCAGTCAGTGAGAAATCTTCACGTTGCTGTTGTTGGTGAGATGCCGAGCGCAGCTGTGCCATACCTTTTGTCTAGGACTGTATACCTTTACTGAGTGTGTTTCGCTTGTTTTATGTATGCGTACAATCTCTTCAGAAGCCACTTGAATGTTCGCTTACTTTCATGTGGGCACCAGTCCTAAGATTTGCAACATTCACCAGCTGTCGACAAGTAAGGAACATACTCGGTCCCTCTGATTCTACTTGCGCAGACGTAGTGACAACCTACACGTTGCTCATCTGACGAGAAATGTGATCGTTTATATGGTTACGAAGATGCAAGCCAGTCATCCTGCTGTTGCTGTTTCCGTCACAGCTAGCATTCGCTCTTGAACTTTCGTCATGCAGTTCTCCTATTCGTATGTCACTGCCTACAGCACAATAACATTGAAGAAATGAACATCGTCCTTCTTGTTTGACAATATGAGGATCGGCGGTGCTGTAAATTGTGGGCAATTACAAAACTCGGCTGGGCTCGGCCGGTGTCATACAAGATCCACAAAAAATTTTTTCTTCCAAAAGCTGGTAGGGCTGCCCCTCACGGATGGCTTGAGTTTGAATGTGGCAGGTGGAAGTGGGGTAGTATGTGGCGGGTTTCGTTCGAGGTAAGGGAGAGGGCTGGGATAGGTTAAGGACTGAGTGGCGTCGATCCTTTGTCGGTTGGCTAGGTAATTTTAGACGAGAGAGGGGAAGTGGTAATGAATGGAAAGGATGAGGAAGTGTACTCCTGGTTTTTACCGTAGATACCTGGGTAGGGAAAAGCGAAATACTACTTGCTTGCATAGTACTGCTGCAGCAGAGGTGGGGAGGAGCCTAGATGACGTTTGCGGGCAGAGTTTGCTGACAGCGTACTGAAAGAGAACGAGGATACAAGTGAGGAGTTCGAAGCAGGAACTGAAGGCGGCACTAAAGAAAAAAAGACAACAGAATGCCACAAATAAAAATAAATTGAAGCAAATCTGACTTTATGAATAAAAGCAAAGAAAACTGAGGCTTTGCTAGTGGAACTGCTCCATAAAAACCCGTCACCAGTAGGGGACACCCTTATTTATGAAGTTGATGCTTAGGTAAAGCTGAGAGCGAATAAGGTGAATTTGCGAAGGTAAAATTGAGAGTTCTTAGCTTTACCTAAGCATCAGTTTCATAAAAAGCTTCACAATTAAAATAGAAAGGAAAGGCCGTAGAAGCCAGCAAAATTGATTATTCCAAGCAGGATCGACGGAGAGGTCGCAGTTGTAAAGTGGTAATTTGCGACTGTAGGTAAGCCGAAGCATTCCTTATAAAGTAAGGGACCGTGCAAACCAAAGGAAATTCAGCAGGGTTGAATTCCATATGTTTTAAGACTACAAGGTTAGAATCTGATAATGAATGGTGTTGGGGAAGATAGTCGGCTAGTAAATGTGGTACAAACCCTTTGACATGTTGAATAGCCATGTACCAAGAATATATAGGGTGGCCTGCCGGTGTTTCATCCCTGAGCTGTAAACACAGGCAGTGTAAGGTGTGGTTAGGGGCGAGAATCATCAATACAGTCCCCTAACCATCACGTGAAACGTAAATTACGTGGTATTTAGAATGAGACATAGGAGGTAGAAGAAGGAATGAAAGAAAATCATTGGCGACACGCACTGGGAGGACCTGTGCGGACATTTGTTTTTGCAGTGTTTCGTGCTGTAATAAGATCACTCGAAATTCCGCTAGCTAGAAACCTCTGACATACCAGTCCTCGAATTTCGGGAAGTTAATTGTCCACGCTATACTTGGACAGGGAATATTCCCTTGAAATCCCAGGTTCCTAGCCTTCTCAGTTCCCGAGTTACCCAAATTCCAGCAAGAAAATTTCACGGGGCCGTACGTGGCAACCACGCATGATTGGGGGCTGGATTTGATAAATTTAAGTAGTAGATGAGCTAGGGACATTTTCTGAAAGTTTCAGCCTCCCAGCTTTCCTGGTTCCGGAGTTATCCATTTTCCCGCCAAAAAATTTCACGGGGCCGTATATGGCAACCACGCATAAGGGGGGCTAAATTTGATACATTAAAGTTGTAGATGAACTGGGAACATTCGCTGAAAGTTTCAGCCCCCCAGCTTCCTTGGTTCCCGAGCTTGCGATTTTCGCGCAAGGAACCCTCACGGGGCCGTACTCGGGAAACGCGCACAACTGGGGGCCGAATTTAAAATCCTTGAGTTCTATGTGGACGGGGAACATAGTCCTAAAATTTAAGCTTTCTTTTCTGGTACCCAACTTAGCGATTTTCCCGCCAAAACTTTGAGGCGCTCGTACGCGGAGCCTAGACGTGCATGAGGATTGGTATCGCGGTCCTGGGGTGGCATTTGGCCGGAGAACCCACTCGCAAAATTTTGGCGCCGGAGCTTGCTTGGGTGTCGAGTTGAAATACTCGGACAGACGCACACAAACACATATGCACACACACACGCACACCGGGGTCGTCGCAATATACGTTTTTGCATTTGCATGTACGCAAAAACGCATAAAAAAGGAAAAAGAGATAAAGACTAACGTACAGAACGTAGTTATCGGATTTGCTGCGTTTCGGGGTCGGTTCTCTTTACGAAGTCATTCTTTAATGCCTAAGAATCGTGGGTAAAGTAGTACAATAAGTGAAAATCATTACAGTATCGAATTATCACAATCAAGTAACATCACACAGATGCTCATAACGCCATAATCGTCTTAGTACAAATATTTACTAACTTCTATACTTGCAAGCAAACTTGTGGACAGTGTCCTTCAATCTCTCACTACCACAGCCTCTTTGTAAGTAAGCACTAAATAATCGGCTACACCACCAAACAAACCGATCTAAGGAGGAGCAGATGCGGGAGTATCATAAAAATTGGGATATAAGGGCACCTTCGTGAAGAGTCAGATCAACATTACCGCCACAATCACTGTAGTAGTTTACAGTGAATGGAAAGTCAAGAGTTTTATTATAAACTCGGAGGTACATCTACTGTTATGGTAAAAGATGTCTAGGTCGAGAAAACAAGTCCGCTGACCGCAGTGGGTAGTCTTAGGCTTGAGCAAATCACTGTACGTATTACGTACGATGGCAGGAAAGTTGGGGTTGCTGATAATAAGTATGCCATCAGCGTATCGGAAAAGTCTTTACCTAACATTTTTGTATTTCTCTGAGTGTCGCTACTCAGCACAACAGACAAAGTGTCAAGCAGCGTCGACAAGACTCGCCGCGAAATAGCGTTAGCAGGAATGCAGAGTAATGGCCGAGCCGAGTTTTAGTCGTTACCGTCATTCTGCGTGTAATCTTCGGCTGGAGACTGTAATACACATTCGCTTTTTGGCAAAAGGATGTTAACGTCTTGCAACTTAGCATCTTCTATCTACAGCTTGACCGCAGGCGTACTGAAAGTTTGCATCTGAACTTACTACCTAAATTTTTACATCAAAACTCCCGCAACACTGCATTTATCATGCACGGGCTGTTCACAATAAAAGCTGTGCTGCTTGCGAAGTGTAAGTAATTTGCTGGCTATTAAATCCGTCTTTTTTTCGGACGGGTGGGAATGGAGTGGGTGAGGAGAGCAAGGGAAAACGAAGGAGTAAAGACCTGTTTGATCAACAGTTTAAACTAGGGAACTATCGACCTCTGTTGGCCAGTCTCCAATGGCTTTTGCTGCAAGATGGTGCGAGAAAGAACTTGGTTCAAATTTTACATGTGTTGATGAGATAAATAATTTTATGAGCTTATTTAAAGGGCAGAATTAAGTATGCACTTAACACTAGCATGATCCATCCTCTTGCGTAACTTTAGTCGTCTCCTTCTTAGAAAGCCAAACGAAAAAACATTCTTACTTATTTCACTTACTGGAATACGTCAATTGACCGAGTTATGTGACACGCTGACATAATGCTTTACGTATGAAGCACATTATTAGCATCCGCTCCGTTGATGTGTTTAGCTGGCCTAGCAATAAATCCCACTATGCTAGCTTCATTACTCACTGTCTTTTTCTCGTGATGCAACCAATGATTTCAGATTGGTTGTGGAGCGTACGGGACCGTATACAAAGGCTTACTTCTGCGCAATCTAATACCAGTGGCAATAAAACGTTTGGATTGTTACGATAAGACAGAGCAAGGTCTGATTGATTTAATGAAAGAAGCGCGTGTAATGCAACTCTACGACCACATCAACGTCGTTAAATTCTTCGGCTTCATCGTCGATCGTGCACCTTATCTTTTGGTTATGGAATACTGCAAGGTTTAACTATAATTAATTAAATAAAAATCTGCTGTTAATTAACAACTGTTCTTGTAACTTGGATGAATGAGGACAGAAAAAGAGGGAGAGCGAGACTGGGCAGCCATCTGTTCCAATAATCGAACGACTAATCGACTTTTTAAAAGTTTTGCTATTACTGATTATTATTATCTTTCATATATTATGACGATGATGATGTTAGGATAAATCAAGGCTGAATAAAATTCGGGCAGATGAACAAGAGGCGATAAGATTGCAAAACCATTCAACACTTGGCTTG